TAACTGGTGGAGAAGGCGGACCTTTTCACTGATCAAATGTGCTCCGTCAATTACAATTTAGCCTTAAAAACACACACCGAGCTTCAAGGACTTGAGAGTGAAGACATCACCCCTTGCCCACAGCCCAGCAAGTCTGGCGTTTTCGATTACAAACCCTAAGTCAGGCGTCTCCAATTACCCTTTCGTTTTCCGCGGTCACTTTCCTGCTCTCCTCGCACAGCACCGCCCTCTCCCGTTCGTATTTCTCTTTGATCGTGCCGACGGCCTCCTCCATCTCGCTGTGCCTAAGGAGGGGAGGGGGGCAAAGACCCTGAGGATCCCCAGCTTGTGGGCGCTGGCATCTGTGCGCGGTGCGGCTACGCCTCCCGGCTGGAGACGGGGGGCACTCACCGCTCCCGCTTGGCCTTCTCCAGCTTGTCCCTCAGCATCAGGACCTCCTTCTGCAGGGCCAGCTGGTGGCTCTCCGAGTCATGCACCTCTTTCCTCACGTTCTTCACTTCTAACACGTGGGAGGCTTCGCGTCTGACCAACTCCTCCTCGTAGAACAGGACCTTCTTCTCCAGCTCAGACTTCACTCTGCAGATCTCCTGCTGGTGCTCTGAGGCGGCACCAGGCCCCCGGCCTCCCTGCTTCATCTGCAGACAAAGGTGACGAGCACAGTCAGTCCTGGGGCCCTCCCTGAGTGCACGCTGCCATCCACCCCCCCCGGGCAGCGCCATGTGCTGGTGGCTCTGTCACTGCGCGTCTGCTGCACCCAGGCACTGAGCCTGGTGACTTTGGTGACCTCACAGGAATGTGACCCCACAAGTCACTGCAGGGCAGGCACTGGGATGAGAATGGCTGCCCTGCAGAGGGGATGCCTCAGCCCCCTGGCTCCAGAGCCTGCCTACACTGCGACACAACAGTCCTCGAGGCCCACCCTTGTCCCCACAGTCAGTCACCCACCAGCTGTTTGTGAGGCTGACTTGGCAGTGGTGCCCTCTGGAGATGGGGTGACCACCAGTCTCTGCTCTCACGGAAGACAGTGAGAAAGACTGCAGTCAGTAATCGGAGATGGCAGTCACATGAGACTGGGTGGCAAACAGGATGGCAGGGAAGGCCTCTTGAAGGGGGGATGCTGGTTAGGTGGTCTTTAGCCAGGGACAGACAACGAGGCAAAGGCAGGAGAATGAGGAGGGCTGGGGTCTGGTGTGTGAGAAGAGAGGATGGCACTGTGCCAGGAGTGAGCGAGTTGGGGAGCAGAGACGAGACAGACTCAGCCGCCGAGGCCAGCTCAGGAAGGGGCTGTGGGCAGCATGGGGCAGGGGCTATACTCCATGAGCTGCAAGGAGGCGTGCCATTGAGAGGTGCGAGACAAGCAGGGAGACCCATCCTGAGGTGTGCAGAGGTTAGGCAGAAGTGCCTGGCCGGCCAGGGTGGCCATGAGGATGATGGGGAGTGGCAGCCTCTGGGGACGTCCTGGAGGGTAGGCAGGGGGTGCACTCATGAGCCAGGTGCAGGGTGGAGGGGAAGGGAGTCGTGAGACCTCTACTCTCCACACACGGCCATGAAGGCTCAGTAACAGAAGCCAACTAGCTGAGGCCACACTGCTGCCAGCAGACCCTCAGAGCCTCATCACGACACAGCCCACCCTTTCCCTGCTGTCCGCTGGGCCCACTGGCCTGGCCCCGATGGCCAGCCTGTCTCGGCTCCACTGCCAGTCATCAGGCACGGGCTTTAAGGAGCTCTTCCAGAACA